TTGTAGGTCCAATTAACAATAAATTTGCACAATTTAAAATGAGACATCTGAAATTTATCCATTGAAATTTAAATTATTTTCAGAAGTTTTTTTTTTAACTTTGAATTTAATTTAAAAGTCAAAATATGATTCAAATTCGAATTTTKATGAATTTGAAAATTTGGAATTTATCCAACTTTAAATTGAACGCTGGATTTATAGTTCAAATTTGAATTTTGGATCAAATTTGAAAATATGAAATTTATCCAASCCAATTTAAAAGTTGGAATATAATTCGAATTCAAATTTGGGATGAATTCAAAATTTTTGAATTTATCCAACTTTAAATTAAGCGCTGGATTTATGGTTCAAATTTGAATTTTGGATCAAATTTGAAAACACGAAATTTATACAACGTATTTTAAAAGTTGGAATATAATTCAAATTTTGGATCAAATCTGAAGATATGAGATTTATCCAATCCAATTTAAACTTCGGTATATAATTTGAATTCAAATTTGGGATGAATTCAAAATTTCCGACGGTAAATTAAACGCTGGATTCATGGTTCAAATTTGAATTTTTTAGAATTTATCCAACGTAACTTAAAAGTTTGAAATATAATTCAAATTCAAATTTGAGACGAATTTGAAAATTTGGATTTAAATTTAATATCGAATCAAATTTAGAATTTGAATGAAGAATCATATTTGGGACTGATTTGAGTTAAAATCCCATCAGATTTCGATTTGATTTGAGTCAAATTTAAGAATTCAATCAAATTCCAACCATAATTTGAAAAAGAAAATCATATTTGAGCTGGGATTTGATTTGGGTCAAATATAATTTAAGAATCAAATCAGATTCCCAATCATAATTTGAAAAAGAAAATCATATTTGAGCTGGGATTTGATTTGGGTCAAATTTAAAAATCTAATCAAATTCCAACCATAATTTGAAGAAAGAAAATCATATTTGAGCTGTGATTTGATTTGGGTCAAATATAATATAAGAATCAAATCAGATTCCCATCCATAATTTGAAAAAGAATCCTATTTGAATTAGGATTTGGATTTGAACCCAAGTCTTTGCCTATAAATTGAGCCTTCAGGCTCATTTGTAGGAGCATAACAGAAGTCCAGAAAAGGTTGGCTTCAAAATTCCTTCCTTTTTTTTCTCTTAAATTATTGGCTTCTAAAATTCACATTCTTCCCGTCTTTATGCAGCTTTGAATTATCATCAAGGTTACCCTCCTCTGTTCATCCATCTTAATTCCATCGACAAAGTAAGAAATTTATCCTTACTATTTCTGCGAGTTTTTCAAACCTTAAACACTTGTCAAAAAATTTTCACTTTTTTTCATGAGAGGTTTTCAAAAATTTTTTTTTTAATAACACCACAGCAGGGAGTTTTTTTTTAAATAATAATAATAATTTTTTAAGTAAGAGAAAAAAATATATATATACGTCCCTGCCGCCATGCGGCAGGGTTTTAACTCTTTTTTCTTTCTTTTTTTTATTTTTTTTTGTAAGTTTTGTTTTTTTTTCTTTTTTTATGTTTTAAAAACTTTTTTTTATGTTTCAAAGTTTTATGTATTTTTTTTTCTTTTTTTTTCTTCTATTCAAATTTTAGAAAA